CTTAGTAATAATGGGTAGAACTTGAAAACAACATTCATTGAAGTTTTTCTACATTTATCCTGTTGGCTAAATATGATCAACTACTACAACATATAATGTCTCATGCAAATTTCATATTAAAAATTCTGTATTTTACAGAAACAATATTGACAACCTCATTTATTCAAAAACATAAGCATGGCCACTGAAACCAAGGAAATTTGTTTTTTAAGTAAGTGAGAATTAAATACATAAATGCATCTGCTGTTCTTTTTATTTACGTATCTTTTCAGATTTTTTTTTAATGTCCTTTCTTCACATTTCCCAATTCTGCAATGCTGGAGACTTGCAGCACCTCTTTCATTTCAATGGAACCTCAGATTCTTGTGTACTATCAAAGTTCCCAGATCTGGAGCAAATAAAATATAATGTACAATTGTGAAACTCATAAGTTGTTCATAACAATCATAATTAAATGACATTGAGAAAGTAAATAATTGTAGCATAGATGTAGAAAAAAATTCCATTTTAAAGGACATTGTCAAAATATTTTATTCTGCAAAATAAGACAATTGTATCACAATGCATGTTTCTTTACAAAATAGTTGCTTGAAATATGCTACAATGGTTGTCTTTGGTACCAAAGACATTGAAGATGAGATATGTCTACATTGTCTTCAGACTTGCTAGGACTATTGGTGCCGACTTCCACAGTAGTAGTTTGACTGACTGGGGGCAGCTGATACTTTCACATAACTCTTTGGCTCTTCTGAGCTTTCTGAAATTTTCATTCCATATCTTCTCTCTATTTTCTCCTCTCTAAGTGGTCAAGTGGAAATAATGATTTGTAATTAAGTAAAAAAGAAATAAGGCTACAAGCCAGTGAAAAGGTCCTAAAAATAAATGTGGTAAAGGTATTGGAGATACACAGTGCCTTATTCTGAATATGGTTCCACTTTTACAATATGAGCTGCATAGGCAAAGGGACTCTGTGATGCCCAGGTTGGGCTATCATTCCCATTTTTCAGGTCTCTCAGACTCTGTACAAAAAAGAAGCCATTGAAATGAGGAAAGCCCTGTCACATGGACCATTAAAAAAGGACTGGAAAATGTTCTGTAGAGCATAATCTTACATAGGCTGAGAGCCTTAGAGGAACAACTCTTTGGGGTTTTTTTTGCTCTTCTGGTTTCTTTTTCTCTGTCTGAGTGTCTTTGAATATTCCAGAAGACTGAGAGAACCTCTCAGGGTAGTTTTAGATCAGGAAGTCAGTGCTGATTATGTGTTTCAAATACACCCTATAATATCCGGTTGTTTATTATCCAATAAAACAGAGGGCAGAACAAACAAATAGTGCTGTAGAATCATGCACTAAAAAACACTTTTCACTAAAACCAATGATACAGTTCTCTGCTGAGTTAATTTGAGTTGGTATTTGTAATCTAACACAGATTATAAGAACACCCACAGAGACCTATTAAGGTGTTTTGTAGCTGTGCAATATATTGCACAGGTATTGTTGTTGTTGACGAGGGACTGAATTTTGTCTTCAGACAAATAAATACAGGGCCTGTCTATCTGAATCTTAATCATCCCTGTGCTTCTGAAGGCAGAATAAGTGATAAACTACAGGGTTTCTATTCGATGATTCAAGGGGAGACCTTCATCAGCTGTTAATAATGCTAAGATTACAAAGATGAAGTACTCAAACTGATGTACACCTAAGAACTGACTTTTTGGATAGATACTTGCACATAGTGAAGATATTTAATGCTGGGATCTTTTTTACCTTTCTGACAAGATGATAACAGTAGCTGATGCCTAGAAGCCACAGCTAGAAAAAATGCACCGGGGATGTCAGATGCAGTTTCTTAGCACCTTATTCCTTAGAAGGTGATTAAACCTTGACTCTTTTAAGAGAGAATAAGTAGTTCTAGAAGATGTGCTTTAAAGATGTTTTTGGCATAAATTTTGCGGCTTATCCTGGGGGTGTCAGGAGAGGTTACCTTAGGCAGGATATGCCTGGTGTTTGAGTCTCTTGCTCTGCTTCTCCATGTCATCACATTCTTTCAGGGGAAGGCAGAGTCATTTGCATTGCCTTCAGGACGCTCCCATTACTTGTAGTTGTGTTGTAAGACAGTATTTCTAATTAAAGCTGCAGTCGCCTCTAGGAGTCAAAAAGCTTTTTTTTCCTTTCCTCTGACACATAATTTGACTTCTAGGTTTCTGAACTGTATCCCTCCCTGACTAATCTTTGAAGTGTGAGAACTGGCTAATGGTTGGAGAAAAGTTACTGAGATAGAGGAGGCAGTGCCCTGAAGAGATATGGAAGATATTTTTGGGTATCTGGCTGGTTTGTGTCACTGGTAACCTCTTGGTTTTATGGACTGCTAGATCGGACATTATGAAGGAATTAGATGAAGTTGGCTGGGATCCTTGGGAGCTTAGCTTCATTCTGCAGCCAGGGCACTATGAATGGACTGGCATTGGTGTCTCACCTCTTCTATTCCCTGGGGACTAAAGATCCCTCAGGCACAGGCAGCAACAAACACAAATATACAGAAGTTTTTGCTTTTGCTTGTGGCAGGCCCATCAAATTTTGTGCTTTGCACATATGACTCACTTGTCTACTTTTTCTTCTCTCCACCCCCACGGTCATCTATAGTATCAGTAACTCTCATGTCTACAGCATGATGCCACAGCTTTTCTTTGTCTCTCTTACACCATGAAGCAGATGATACTGATCAGTGTGCCAGGCAACTGTGTCTGATGTGCAAAGCCCTGAGGTACAAGAGAAAGTGTGGTGTTCAGCCGGTTCCAGGGAGCTTTTGCTTCACCCCAGCTGCAGCCTCCTACCGCACTCCCTCCTGCTCCACATCACCCGATGCTTAAGGCGTGCTCCCATCATGGGACTTGACACAGAAACTACACACACCGGGCAATTAAAAAGCTGAGAGGTCAACAACTCATTTATAACATGTTCTGGCTGGGGACTCCCTGTGGCACCATGAAGGCAGGGGGCAAGGGAGAGAGTAAAAAGAAATGCTGTGCTAAGGCTATAGTTGATTTTACCTTTTGTTTTTAAAAGACATTTTTAAGCTGCTATGAAAACCAAATAAATACATGAATAGATACAAAAACCAGGGAGACCTCAGTGCCATCACATACTCCCTGTGTGACCAGCAATGTAGAATACTCAGTTCTACTTGCATTATCCACGCTTGCTGTTTCTCTCAGGTAGGCTAAGAAGAGTATAAAAATGCAAATCTTGCTCTCTGAAGTTAATGACAAATCTCTTATTGACTTATATGGGATAAGTTTCAAGGGCTTTGTAATTATCTATAAAACGGGGCAGTGATGAGCAGATGATCTCACCATGAAAAGCTATATTCCATTCTCAGTCTGTGGCTCTAGCCAGCCATACTAGTCCAGATTTTTATATGACAGACTGCTAATTTAGAATTACTGTATTACTAATTACAAATGCTAGATTAGATATGCTGAGGTGTTCAAGGTCTGCTCTTAAATACTGGCTCACGGTCTCCTCTGTTGTTTAGTATAAGAAAGATTCAAGCAATAATTATTTGGTATTAAAAAAGGATCATGTAAAAGTCTGTGCAAATATATTCGAAGTATATTCAACACCTTTTAAATACAGGCTTTGAAAGAAACCATGGAATTGCAGTTCTGTTTTATACCAAAAGCACTGTTACTTACACTGCTGCTGATTATTTTCCTTGTTTGTCTTAAAATTATTTCAGGAAGGTAATAAAAGTAAACTGATTTATTATCTGACAGCCTCAGTCCAGGTTTCAGTAGAAAAACAGAAGCTGCTGTAGGTGTGCACAAACACCCCAAATTCAGACCAATCACACTCAGTACTTTATTTAAATTTGCCTGTTGATTCCTTTTATCTTGCAGTTCTCCTTTGTGCCCAGACTTATCCAAAAGGCTTGTGGTTTTTTTGTCTTCCCTTCATTCTACCTACCTTCCCTGAGACCATTCTCAGGAAAAATACTCAGGAAAGCCCAAGAGCCCTACCCAGGAACAATACCATGGTGTGCTTTAGTGTGTGCCTTTTAGCGATGCCATTTATAATTTTGCTTTGGTCCCACAGGTCTGAGATGTGGCCTTCAGCTGTGCTAATCCTTACCTGGTGCAAGAGGTTGTATCACATAAAGTATGAATATGTTGGGCCCCCATTTGAGGAGCCATCTGACAAGGTGGGAATGGGCAATGAGACCTGTGCTGCCTGGGAGCAATGTGTCCGGGGCAGACCTGGGGCGCTTCGGTGTGCAATGCTGGGTGAGTACGAGCGGACGAGCTTTGTGCTGAGTCTACTCTGTAGGTAGAAACGAAGGCTTTGGTCTGGAGGACTGCAAGTCAGACATTTTTGCCAACACAAAAAGTGCTTCAATGGTAAAAGCTAAAGGAGTGAAATTGGTAACTTATCACAGAAGAAAATATACCCTTGATTTATGAGCCCAGACAGCAGAGATGGTGTGGCAATGTAACCAGAGATGCAGGGCAATGCAAACATGAAGTAACCATCTGTTTTCCTCTAGACTTTAATGGAGCTTGTATTTTATTTCCATTTTAAAGGGTCATCTTTACAGTCCATTTTGTCCTCTCCCCTTCCTTCTCTCAGCTCATCCTTGTGATGAAGAGTTAGTGCCCTTATCAGGCAAGGTTTCAGGTAACACTTCAGTTTTATAGCCTCAGCCTTTCCATGAGCAAACATTCACAGCAACCTTTAGCCTCTCTCCTTTCCTGAGTTTTGCTGTTGATGTTTTTTCACAAACAGAAGTGCCACCTAGTACACTGGAGGGGTGGGCAGAGGTGAAGGCGGGGGGATAGGGAAGTGCCTGAGAGAAGAATCGTACAGCCTGTCTTTGAATCTACGGCGTGGAGATCTCTTTCGTCCTATCCAGGAACAAAACCAACGTAGAGTACCTGAAAGAAAGAGGGTTGGAAGACAAAAAGAGAAGAGAGAACACACACAATGGGTCTAAACTGAACAATAATGAAGCAACGGATGTTGGGTCTGGCCCTTTGGCCTTTGTTTTTCTCTCTCAAGCTGCTGCAGCAAGTTGGTTCAAACGAATGTAGCAACAACAGTTATGTGGTCAATGTGATGCTCATGAATTACTCGGACCTCCCATTAACTACTGAAAATTTGAAATTAGCTGTGACCAAAGCCTTGCAAAGCGTACAAAAGGAATTCAACAGGATAGGTAAGGCAACGGGTGTTGATTATCCCTCTCCTGCTGTGGTTTCTTGTCAGACTTTGTGCCACAGCTTTCTACTCATCTGACCTTCAGCAAACTGCTCCTCAGACATTCACCTTATGTAGATCTTACAGAAATAATGACCTCCCTCTGTGGAAACAGAAGTGCTCTACAGATGGGCAGAACCATATTTGCTTTCATGGTGTTTGGGCAGACTTCTCCTGCATGCTTTTCTGGAATTGTTCAGTTGGGATTGGGAACATGGGAATTGCTGAACTGGATCAGACAAGACCAGTGATCCATCTAGTGCAGTAACTGGGATGCCCTTGCTTCCTCTCCTGGCTGGATTAGCCTCTACTTTCTGAAAATAATTTTCCTCTTGACCCCATCTGTTGATCACATTATGACTTCAAGTGTGAAGAATCTACAGTCCATATGTTTTTCCCTCATTTAGAGTCACTGCAGATGATGCTTTTATTTATTATGTTATCTTACCTCTTCTTTCATTATCACCAATCTACTGTCACTCTCTAGAATATAATGGGAAAAAGTTTCCGAAGAAATGATAGCTATTCCCTTTCTGCCCCCTAGTTGAAGAGATTTTGTCCAATTTTATTGGAAAGTGGTCTCTCAGTTACTTCCTACAGAGCTTTTAAAAATGTCTCTAATAATGGCCAGCACTAAAAGTACTTCGTACTGAAAGTACCAACACTCAGCAGAAGAAGTCAGCAGCCCACACTGGAGCAAATTTTACAGTCTCATCCTAAATAGTGGGGGTTAGGCGGTAGGTGGACTTTCTAGCAGATTTTTGTTGGGAGACATCCTAGCATAAGACTGCTCAGACCTGTGTCAGAAGAAGAGGGATACGGTGTATTAGTGGTTATTTGCAACTCATGATGCTGTTTACTTTTACGTTTGCATTACAGGAGAAAATATTACAGTCAATGCCACCTTCCACAGCGCCTCACCACTCTATGTCTCACAAGGCTGTCGTACCAGCACCTGTGAAGGTGTGGAGCTCATTAAGGCAATTTATGTGAGTAGCAGGCTTCTTTAAGTTGATTTCCTATGAAGACAAGAATTTTTCTTTCTGCATGTGTGTGCACATGTGTCTGTCTTTCCTTATTAACTTTTGATCCTGTTGTTCAGTTCCAAACAAATTTGACAGGGAAGTGAAGTTTTCAAAGAGAAGGTGTTTCTGTAGGTTTTGTGAAGACAAGCAGGCAAATAGTGGAGAGAGATTCTATGAATGCTTCCCAGAGGCTGTCATTAGACATCTGGTGGCAGTGCTGGCTAAAGCAGCCTTCCACTCCAGGCTCCTTTTCCTATGCTTATGTTGTCCTCTTTTTTATATCTGCACAGATCTTTGTGTGGCCACATAACAATCTATTAAAAAAACCTGACAACCAACCAACCAATGAAAAAAACCCAAACCCAAACACTCAAACAGCCCAAGCAGAGCAAAAAAGGTCCATTTCCAACTGGATCAGACCCTGATCTGGTTCACCATCAGTTTACAGAAATAGACAAAGGAGAGAGCTGTGCGAGGATAGGAACATGCAGACAGAGAGATTATTCGGCTGGTACTGATACCAAAGAAACACGTATGGAACTATGCCCAGAGGGCAAAGATGAAGTGCTCACTTCTCACTAGAAATCACAGAAGTCACATGGGAGAAACTGTATGAATATCTTAATATGGGGAAAAGCTTCAGTTGGAATTGGTGCCTTACAAGAAGCCGTGTTTTGTGGATTTTCTCATGTCTAATAACTGTCACCTCTGAGTGAAGCTTTGTCAAGCCAATGTGAATTCTCAAATCTACCAATGTATGAGCACATGCTATAGTCTTTATTAAGAAGTCATCCCTCAAGGCACACAAAGCTAGTGGTCAGGCCTCACTTGGTGGTCATGGAAGGTTTTTTTTATACAAGCTTCATATGCACATAACTAATCGTTTTTCTGATACACACTATCTTGTAATTTCAACCCCTCTGTCTTCTGCAAATGCAAGCACTGCTGGGGTGTGTAATTTCATATGTGCAATTGTAACAATTGCAACATTTCAACCCTAACTTGCTGGCTGTCTCTTAATAAAGGTCATACTCACAGGCACTATTCTGTCCTCTGCCTTTTCTTAGCTTTCTGTGATTCCTCCCTCCTTCACTCTAGGTTTGTTCTTTTAACCTTTCTGTAGCTTCTTTGCTACTCTGTTCTTGCTTTTGCTGAGTCAATTCTGTGACTTTTTCTCAAATCCTAAAGTTTCCTTCATTCTCCCATCCTCCCCTCTCTGCCAGTCCTCTGCACTGTCGCCACTACTGACCCTTTCTGATCCCTTGCAGAGGAGTGGTAGACTTGGCTGTGTCGTCATAGGACCTGCGTGCACTTATGCCACCTACCAAATGGTCTCGTAAGTACCACCTCTTCCCCCTAATACTGTGATGTTAAAGATATCAACTGCTGAACAAAGTTGTTTTGTGTACAACAAGCCAGCAGAGACATTGGGGTTTAGGATACATCAGACACCTCAAGATCTACAGTCAAGGCAGTAAGACTCTTATGCATAGCCACTATGTTTGGTAGAGAGAAGAAAATCCCCTTCCAAAGTCCATTGATGAAATCCCACTGCTAGCAGGGAAACTTTTCTAATTGCGGACAGTCAGTTGATTGATTGATTGATTGATTAAGGGCTCAAAAGACTTAACTCTTCAGCAACTGCAGCAGGAAAGAGATGTTAGCTTGAAGCATGTAGACATCGCAGTACTGCAGCAACAGGGGTCCTTCTGGGTGGGTGTGCAGTCACTGAGAGGGGCCTGAGTTACATGTGTCAAGAGAAGATCCAAAAACCCCAACCATCTTCAATAAAGAGTGTTTAGATAGGGAGCAGCCAGTTTCATCCTAACTCTTCTGCCTGCGGAAGCATTCCTGAAGAATGAATCTCTCTACTATTGTATTATACATGAACCTGTATAATTCTATTCTATATTATATTATACATTCATATGTTCATTTTCAGATATTAGGAAAAGTGTAAGCTGAATCTGCAGACTTCTAGCATAAATCAGTTAAAAAACCCCCATCAGCCATGATGTACAAATCCATGTTGTTACCCATGTGAATCACTTCCCTTTTTAAACTTTGGTAGCCTTTTGGTTTCACTGAGAGATACTGGAAAGATTGAGACACTTTTACCTCAAGCTTTATCTGCTTTTAGCCCTATACTTTTCTTTGAGTGGCATGACCAGAAGTGAATACAATGTTACTGGTGAACGCATGTGATTGATTTATAGAAGAATCAAAAGAATAAGTCTTACATGTGTATAGGACCGTGGTAAAATCTTATGCAATATATCCCATTTTATTTATTGTGCCTCCTAACTTTGTTTGCTTTTCTATCTGCTGGATATGGAGCTGCCCAGAATGATGCCAAAGTCTTTTCCTTGGACTCTGACACAGTTAAACCAGTAAAAAGTATGAATAGCGGAAGTTTATGCAAAGCAATGAAGAACACTAACAAACAGGCAGCTGGCTTTTGCCCATGGTGCAATAGCTTTGCAAATCAGAACAAGTGCTTCACTTTACAACACTTTAAGTGTGGGGAGGGTGCTGTGGGGAGGGCGCTCCATGGGCAGCGGGGCGGGAGTGTGCAGGGCCTGTGGCAGCCCGGCTGCTGCCTGCGCTTGGCCACCGCTCTCCGGGTTTCATCTTTGGCTTGTCAAATGGACATTAAGCGACACTGGGTGATAACTGCAAGAGCTCTATAAGCAGCTGCTGGGATGTTGTGACAGAACAGTGGAAGTAACAAGTGGGGTTTGGGATTAGCCCGACTGTCTACCTCCAACTTCTTCAGCATCTCTAATTCAGGAAGTCATTGGGCAATGATTAATGGGATGAAATTTAACAAGTCCAAATGCCGGATTCTGCACCTAGGATGGAGTAACGCTGGGCACAAGTATAAATTGGGAGAGGAGTGGCTGGAGAGCAGCCCTGCAGAAAGGGATCTGGGGGTGCTGGTCGACAGCAGGCTCGGTATGAGTCAGCAGCGTGCCCTGGCAGCCAAGAGGGCAAACCGCACCCTGGGGTCCATCAAACACAGCGTAACCAGCCAGTCAAAAGAGGTGATTATCCCGCTGTATTCAGCGTTGGTGTGGCCTCACCTTGAGTACTGTGTGCAGTTCTGGGCCCCACAGTTTCAGAAGGATGTGAAGGTCCTTGAATGTGTCCAGAGGAGGGCAACAAAGCTGGTGAAAGGGCTGGAAGGCATGTCCTCTTGAGGAGCGGCTGAGGACTCTGGGTTTGTCT